CAAGCTTCAGACGAAGAAGTGGATGATGTGTTCTCCCGGTGCCTATTTATACTACAGTCGCACCGGTAGTGACGTCATGGCTGTCACCGGCCAACTTGTTGTTGGTGTTTTTTCAATGTATGCTTCAGACACGGGTCACGACGAGGCGTTCCCCATAGCGACCCCTAGAGGACGCAGTGTCTTGTTCCCTACTCAGGGAACCATGGTTCCATACGTAACATGAGACGTTTTTAAAAATATGCTGACAAAAATGCTCTTACACTGGAAGTCTATGGGGAGATCGCTGTAAACCAAAATATCACTTTAACTCACCGAGGGATTTGAAAAGTTCTGTTCCTGCAAATTTGCAGTCAAAAAATACTGTGTTGTTTTCTGTGTTAAACATCCGACTCATCCGAACCAGAACCACTTCCATGGACCCTAATAAGACAGAAAGGCACACACAGAAAAAGGCAGAGAGGAGAGAGCAACATACCAAGAATTATAGAAAGAGAAATGAGGATGGAAGAGGAGAAGACAAAGCCAGAGAAGTGACAGGTTTTTGAGAGATAGAAACAGGACAGAGAGAGATGAGAATGGAGTTATAAACCTTTCCAGCCGTTAATTGATAAACTAGTATGTTGTATGGACAGCTATATCTCACCACTCTTGAGGAGAGCAATTTGATCATTCTGACAAAGCTGACGGAATCCTGGGATACGTTTAGCAAATTCCACCACATACTGAACAGCATCGGTCAACCGCACTGCACAGTGCTGCCACATCTCATCCACCGACTACAGAGAGAGGAAGAGAGAGATAAAGAAAGTGAGAAGGGAGAGAAACCTGAGACCGACTGAGTGGAGAGAATGTTTTTACTATATATTCAGATAACCATACAATACAAGTCAAAAGTTTGCAAACATTCTGAAATACTGGTATTAATATTTAAATGTGATGCATGTGATTCTCTAAATAAAACAACAAACACATAATAAAATAGCAGGAATTTACAGGAATTCCAGACCATCTTTAAAGGCTGTATGTGAGAGACCATACAGATGTGGATATGTTTTCATCAGTTCTGCAATTCGGCACTCCATGTTTTTACTCTTATCTGATGGCAGTTCAAAGGTATTTAACATTCAAAACACTTTGTTTGTCAAGATTTGTTCTTTTTTTTTCAAAAAGACAATGCACTTGAAAAAATAAAATAATCATAATAGACCAATGGCAGTTTAAATGTGTTTAACAGTCAGATTGAAGTTTTCCACAAAATTTGCACTGACGACTTGTTTCGATCAACCAAAAAGAACCTTGAACACTTTGTTTGACCAGATTTTGTTCAAAATTACATCACAAGTGAAAAAAATAGAATCTAATCGTTATGGACCAATGGCCGTTCGAAGGTGTTTGACAGTCAGCTTTAAGTTTTCCAGAAAGTTTGCACTGGCAAGCTGTTTTTGTTTGATTTATTGTGAAATGACATCACACTTATTAATTTGATTTAGCTGGAAGTATATCAGAGCCTTTACAATTAAAAAAAAAAAAAAAGTTAAAAAACTTTTTCTCAACTGTGAAATTATTTTGCACTTAGAAATTATTTTGCACTTAGAAATGTATTTCTCATAATTGCAATTATTTCTGTGACTTTACATCTCACAATTGAGATGTTTAATTAATTAAATCACAAAGAGGAATGTGTGACTAATGCCTCTGTTTCACATAGTCATCAGTTACAGCTGTGCTAGTTACATAAGAGTAGAGGAGATGTACTTTGCTCTGGTAAGCGTGGATCTCCTCCCTGCTAAAAACCTTCCATCTGAGAGCCTGCAGCTCCTCCGCCCGATACTGAGTCGTCTCTCTGTGAGAACGTACGATACTTGCAGAGAGCTCCTCTGTCAAAAAAAAAAAAAGACACACACACAAAGGGATACATGTTAATCCAAAAGCAAAACCACACTACTACAACACCACCACCACAATAGTTCAACTCCTAAAGGTGTGATCACATTAATCCACTTTATAACACCACATAGCACACATGAATCTTTAAACTGCTTGTGGTTCTCACCTATGTGCAGAGATGTCGGGTAAGAAAAGAACGATCTCTCAGGGTCAAAAGGACGAAACCCCATTTCACTGCCGCTCATGTTCAGAATAGCCTCTGGTGTAGACATTGTGGAGTCAAATCCTGAAAGAGAGAAAGAGAAAACTGTAAACCACAATATCGTATGAGATTTATCTACATGATGAAAAGTACTTCCTTCAGTGTTGAATTTCTCACCTCTCCCAGCTGACAAGCTGTTGCTCTCACCTCTCCTGTGGGAGCCCCTGTAGGCCAGACTCTGAGCCTGGGCCTCGCCTATGCGACACTCCAGGTATGGATGCACCTCTGGAGGGCAGCCTTGCAGTTCAGGCTCTACAGAGTAAGGGTAAGCTGGAGGTAGAGGTGGGATGAGATGAGGTGACTGTTCTCTGGGCTCTTTGCCAGTACGGTAGGCTGGGAGAGGCTGGGGCTCTTGGACTGAGTTGGCCTGAAGACGCTGCTGCTGCCGATGTCTCTCGACTTCTGCAAATAGCGAGTCTCTCTGACGCTTAGACATACGACCAAACTTCACCGCTGAGGGAGACGAGAAAACATTACTACAGTTATGAGGCTGCATAAAATTTTGATTGAATTAAATACTGCTTTAATGCACAAACTGAGTATCACAATTGTGCTTTCCAAAAATCATCCATCCATCCTTCTTACCGTCGCGGCTCATTCCCTGAGCGACACATTTTTTGAGGCGGCAGCTCTGGCAGCGGTTACGGCTGGCACGGTCAATGGGGCAGTTGCTCTGTCTGGAGCACGAGTACTGCACGCTGGAGGACTGACTTCTGCGGAAGAAGCCCTTTTGGGAAAGAGAGAGGCAGATGTTTAGAACAATTACGTGTGATGTGCTAAGGAAGCAGGGCATCCTGTTTGTGAATCCCTTACATCCAGCCTAAATTATGACTATTTGACATTAGTGAAGTCTTTTTTTTCCTTTTTCTTACCTTGCAGCCCTCACAAGTGATAACTCCATAATGAACCCCTGATGACTTATCTCCACAGATCTTACATGGGATCACCTCAATCTGAGCTATAGACACAAACAGAACAATAACAACACAAACATTAAAGCCTTGATCATGTGCTTTACCACAAATGTGTTGAGATTTCACAGTTGTTTGAAATAATACACAATGCTATTAATCAGAATAAAATTTTTGCCAGCAGAGGGCAGTACAGCCCAGAAAAAAAACAAACAATTATTATTACAGATACATTTCAGTTTTCATTATCGTATAGTATATACATTATATTTTTTTAAGGTAGTTTTATTTTTAATTTTTTTAAATATATATTTTTATTGATGAATACTTTTATTCAGCAAGGATGCGTTAAATTGATCAAAAGTGACACTAAAGGCATCTATAATGTTACAAAAGATTTCTATTTCAAATGAATGCTGTTATGTTGAACTTTCTATTCATCTATTCAAGAATACTGAAAAAAATAAGCAGCACAAATGTTTTTAACATATACTGATAATGAGAAGAAATGTTTCTTGAGCACCAAATCAGCATATTACAATGATTTCTGAAGGACCATGTTACACTGAAGACTGGAGTAATGGCTGCTTTAAAACTATATTAAAATAAAAGACAGTTGTAACTGTAATCATATTTCACAATATAGCTGTTTTTACTGTATTTTGATCAAATAAATGTAGACTTGGTAAACATGGGTGACTTGCAAAAACACTAAAAATTGTATGTATATATATATATATATATATATACATATATATACATACATACATACATATATACGATAATATACAAAATTTTTTAAAAAGTATAAAGATTACACATTTCTGCTTAACCCAAAATAAACTGACCCATTTATCAATAATTACATTCAATTAAAGCACAGATATACCAAGGGAAAAAAAATGCTTTCAGATGTTAAAATGGTCAGAGAAAATAGTACATTTTCCAAAACAGGTATTTTGTGATGGATAAGTAGACTAATTAATATGAACAAATGAAACACTGGATGACTGTTTTTTTTTTTGTAATAGATGTCCTTATGTGTATTTGCTGTTAAATAAACACTCAGAGTATACAAGTGTACAAGCACAAATACACAGAAGTATAAATACACAAACCTGCTGAAATACAAACACACACTGGTTTTGTAACAGACTAAAGACAATCCCTGAAAGCCACATTAAGAAATCCTAATCTAATGAACAGAGGGAGCACGAGGGGGAGAAGGGAAGGGGGAGGATGACTGAAAGGAAAGAGAGAGGAATGAAGTGTAGCTACTGTTGTGCTACTAACACAAACACACATGCACATATTTTTGTCATGTTGGGAACTTTCCATTGGTGACTATAGCTTGTATACTAGGCTAATGATACTTTATTTTCCCAAGATTGTAATGAAAACATTATTTACTTTAAGTTTATGTGTTTTTATTTTCACAATGACTGTTGGCCGGTCCCTGAAATGTAGTTTTTCAGGTTTCATAATGGGGACATTTGGTTTGAAAATGTAGCAAAAACCTGACACACAGACACACAGGCATGCACAGCTGCAGACCTACATTAAAAGTGAGATTATAGTGTATTTAACAATAATATCAGAAACACAAAATGCAAAGGCACATGTCTTAAAATCCATTAGTGTTTAAACTGCAATATAACAGAAGTAGTGTCAGATACTGTCTTCCGTATTATACATCCAAGTGAAAAGGATCATCAAAAAGAAAACACTGTAGAATGGGGACTTCCATCCACAGGTTGTTGATTGGATGGAGGTGGATCTGAATGCGAGCTTGTGATCGGTAAGGTAAAAAACGTATGCATTGATGAATCATTCATAATAAGATCAACAATATGCACTTTGAAAATAGAGTGAATTTTTGTTTTATGCTGACTTATATGGAATCTCCTGGAGGTTCCTAAGCTAAAACTCAAAATGTATGTGTTCTGTACATTAGTCTGTGTGTGTGTGTGTGTGTGTGTGTGTGTGTTTGTGTACATGCTTGAGGGAGGGGACTCATGTTCCATGGTACTGGACCACATCACATAGCCACACACACATTGCTTGATTCCAAGAAACAAGTAGGTTAGATTTACTGACATTTTGACTAAACACACACACACACACACACACACACACACACATATATACAGGTGGGAGGAAGTACATATACAGTAGAGAAGGAAGTGAATGAGAGAATGATACAAGGTTAAAGTTCAAAAGTTTAAAGATACATTCCACTGAGGCTTATTACAAAAAAAAATGTTGTAAAAAGGTTTTAATTGAGAGCTGAACTAATGGGATTACATTTGAAATTGTTAACCAAGGGTCATATTTAATCTTTGCTTAATATAACGCTGTGAGTGGATTTTGTGCAGTGGTGAGGACTTATATTTTGCTCAACATCTTAACTGACATTTTTTTAAAAACATGTCATTGTAGCAAAAACACACTTAATTTAATTAATTTCTTGAATATATGAAAGGAACATAACATTGCAGGTTAGATTTGCTGCTTCTTTGGCTGTTCAGTGGTGCTCTGCCGTTCACATGCACATTCTTTGTGTCAGCAACAATTTTGTCTTATGGGAATTCAGGGTGGTTCAGCTATGCATTTCGTGCATTGTGCGGGTTGCTTATAATGTAACTCAAAGCTCTCTGGATTTACTGTGATACGGCACAGTTCTAAATATTTGTGAATGTAGCACAACAACATTAGGATTAAGTGTCAAATTGTCAGTCATCATTTGGTGCAGCATATGATGCTGCTTCTGTAAGAGATTTGTCTTTTATGCAAGTCCTCTCTTTGGCTTTTGTCATTTTTTTTCTTCATTGAATTTTCAAAATACTATAAAAATGAAGGTTCCATTCTATTGTGATGCAACAGAAGAACCATTTTATGTTCCCTAAGAACCTTTCAGTGAACAGTTTTTAAAAGAACCATTTTTATAGTGTGAATGCCCATTTAATAATCAGAAGAATCTTTTTTCTACAATGAAGAGGCTTTTGTGCAATAGAAAGTTTCCACAGACATCAAAGGTACTTCATGGAACCATAGATCTAAATATAAGAAAATCTAAATATGTATTATTTTAATTATTAAATTAAACCATATTTAATTATTAATTTTAATTATTTTAGTTACTTATTCAAATCTATGGAGAGTCATAATATCTGCAGGGGTGGATCTACCGGGGTGGCACGGGGTGGCAACTGCCACCCTAAGAAAAAGCTGTGTCACCCCAGAATTATCACAGAATAAAATATAAATGTAAGCAGTGTTTCATGTGCTAATATTCAGCCGCGGCGACGACAGAGTAACGCAAAAATAATGGCAAAAATACATCTTTTATTCAACTGTGCACGATGGTTGCACGCGCACGCAGAGTGCCAGTGTAGTCGGCTTCATTAACAAATGACTCTTATGAACCGGATCTTTTTGAGTCAAAACCACAAAGCGCGGCGCAGTTCACTAAAGAATTGTTTTTACATTTGTTCGTGAATCAGATAATTACTGCTTTTCAGGTAACTCATCCCGTCCGGATATGTCTGAGATTCATCGCGTAATTGTTTGGTGATCCTATTCTCCGACCGCTCGCTCCACTTTCATCATGGATATAAGCCAACATTTATACTTACACATACAGTATAATTACAGTACAGTACCACACTCTAAAAAATGCTGGGTTAAAAAGGGACAAATTTTAAGCATTTCCAGCATTTTTTAGAGTGCAGTAAGTTACATTAGATAATGGAAATTTCACTATTCTATATGTACAGTAAACTGTTGCACATGTTGTACACCTTCAAGCGTGTGACTGTCAGATTTTTTTTGCAACCATTTTTTATGTGTACTGCATTTTTGCAGAACTGAGAAATTACTGCCTAGAGATATAGCTAGTCTTGTGTCAGGAGACCAAGAAACTGCTATAGTACTGTATACTGTAATGAAATTTGGCCAAATGTGCAGAGGATGCTAAATTGACTTTTTTTTATTTTATTTTTTACTGTACTGTATTGTGGTGCATATTAAGTTCATACAATTCTTTGGTATTTGAACTTTTCTAGTGCTTTTCATCTACTGCAAGATCACTTAACACTAAATGATTTTTTTTTCTCCAAAGGTTCATTGCTGAATTATACATCTGTATCTGTAATTTAATTTATGTATACTGTAATAGACATTGAGCTGCAAAAATAATTCCTGAATCCTAAGAGTTTTTTGTTACAGTGTTATTGATCTCAGTGTTCACTGGGCAGGAAAGTCATATGTGTATTTGAATGGTGTGTAAGCATTTACAGTTTTTTTCAACTGCTTACACACAAAATCTTTACTTGTCACACAATTTCTGAAAGCTGACACTCAAACACCAGAAGCACACACCAAATCCGCAAAACCATACACTAGTTCTCTGCCTTTGACTCCGTTTTCAATTTCATAAAACACTTTTTGCAAACCACAACACACAATTCTTTATGTAACACAAAAGGTGTTTGCAAATGTTTGCTTTTGAGATGTGTTTGTGATATTTTGAATGCAGTGCTTCATTTTGCAAGAGATGTGAGGCATTTTGCATTTTGTGTGTGCAATTCTTGGATTTGTGTGTAAAGTTTTGAAAAAAA